TGTCTAGCAGGGAGGCATTGGTCCCATTTTTAAAGTCTTTGGTATGACCCGACCGCGATTTGAACCCTGATCTCCCACTCTACCACCAGGCCAGTGAGAAGCTCCTTTATTGAATAAAATCTTAACTAAGCTGCAATAAAACAGGAAATAATAGTAGTGCAATTACTTTGAGTTTTCCTGAAAATGAATAAAATGTACTGAAATGAACTCAAAACATGTCACGTCAGAAAAAAGGATCATGAAAATCAGGTAAAACCACATTTATTTTAAATGTTTAGCAAATTCCTAATTCTTGCTGCGTTTCTGCTGTACACATGTTAATAGTGTTAGAAACGCACCACAGCCACTGAGAAAACTCTTAGCGTGTGCTTGGCTCATTCACATTTCAACAGCACCACCTGCTGGCTGAACTCAATCATTCTAAGTCAAATTTAATTTCTATAAATAGGTTAATTTTTCTTAAAGGCACAGGTCTGACCTGGCAAACGTTCAATGGCTCTGACCTGTCATCAGGAGCTCAGAATGAGGCTCCATGCTGAGCTGAAGAAAGTGAGACAGTGCTTTCATACGACAATCAGATTACAAAAGCCAGATTTAAACACGGAACAGAGTTCTGTTTACGTTTCTTGAACCCTCCACCCATTTTCTCAAAACCCTGAACACAAATCCAAAAACCTTGTCCAGATTCACAAAACCCTCAACTTCAGTTTCAGCTGAAAATCCGTAAAACTGTGTTCTGAACCAACATCAACACAGCAAGTAAAAATACAACCACCACATGACATTTGTTAGACTTGACATCATAACTGAAGACAGCATCCAGGGCAATTACTTACCATGAAATATCCACTGTAAGTGTTTTGTAACAAAAACGACCCTGATTAGAGTGAATGTGGAAAATGAAAAAATAAAACATTACTGTAAATCACATTCATTTCACATCACGTCTTTGTGCACATGGTCTGTCCAGAGAACTCCGTCCACATCAAAGACCATTTTCTCTCTTGCTATAGGCATCATGGGAAAAACATCCTGATATCCTAGACCTCCACTGATCTTCCAGGGTTTTGCTCTAATGGTTCTCTGTACACCCGTTTCATGTGTTTGGAGGACCCGGTCAGTACTGATGTAAGGGTGACAGTGGTGCAGGGGTTAGGAGTTCACCATGAAATCCCTGGTTGCTGGTTTGATCCAGTGTTTCAAGGTTCAAGGTTGTCTTTATTAATCCACAAGGGGGAAATTGAATCGCCATGGACAAGTAAAAAAAAACAGCATACACGCACAAACAACAAAAAACAAACATTCACTGGACACTGCTATAAGCCACAACCATGATAGAAATGCCAAATATACGATCATACAAAATGCTCATAGTAAAAACGCACGGCAGCAGGAATAAAAGAGTTCCTAAAACGTTCAGTGGGGTTAACATTCGCCCACTAAAAGAGCTCCTGAGATCCTTAAAAACCTGATGCAGGGGGTGATCCTCCAGAGTCATAACTGTCTTAAGTTTACTCCTCATCCTTTTGTCGATGATCATGTCAAATGAGTCCAAGCTTTGCCCAACCACTGAGCCAGATTTCTTGATCATTTTGTAGATCCTGTTTTTGTCCTCAGCAGTGAGGCTCCTGCCCCAACACAACACAGCATAAAACGCACTGGCCATAATCCCCTGATAACACACATTCAAGAGCCTCCTACATACATTGGGGCAAAAAAGTATTTAGTCAGCCACCGATTGTGCAAGTTCTCCCACTTAAAATGATGACAGAGGTCAGTAATTTTCATCTTAGGTACACTTCAACTGTGAGAGACAGAATGTGAAAAAAAAAATCCATGACTTCACATGTTAGGATTTTTAAAGAATTTATTTGTAAATCAGGGTGGAAAATAAGTATTTGGTCAATAACAAAAATTCAACTCAATACTTTGTAACATAACCTTTGTTGGCAATAACAGAGGTCAAATGATTACTATAGGTCTTTACCAGGTTTGCACACACAGTAGCTGGTATTTTGGCCCATTCCTCCATGCAGATCTTCTCGAGAGCAGTGATGTTTTGGGGCTGTCGCCGAGCAACACGGACTTTCAACTCCCTCCACAGATTGTCTATGGGGTTGAGGTCTGGAGACTGGCTAGGCCACTCCAGGACTTTCAAATGCTTCTTACGGAGCCACTCCTTTGTTGCCCGGGCGGTGTGTTTGGGATCGTTGTCGTGTTGGAAGACCCAGCCACGTTTCATCTTCAAAGCTCTCACTGATGGAAGGAGGTTTTGGCTCAGAATCTCACGATACATGGCCCCATTCATTCTGTCCTTAACACGGATCAGTCGTCCTGTCCCCTTAGCAGAAAAACAGCCCCAAAGCATGATGTTCCCACCCCCATGCTTCACAGTAGGTATGGTGTTCTTGGGATGCAACTCAGTATTCTTCTTCCTCCAAACACGACGAGTTGAGTTTATACCAAAAAGTTCTACTTTGGTTTCATCTGACCACATGACATTCTCCCAATCCTCTGCTGTATCATCCATGTGCTCTCTGGCAAACTTCAGACGGGCCTGGACATGCACTGGCTTCAGCAGCGGAACACGTCTGGCACTGCAGGATTTGATTCCCTGCCGTTGTAGTGTGTTACTGATGGTGACCTTTGTTACTGTGGTCCCAGCTCTCTGCAGGTCATTCACCAGGTCCCCCCGTGTGGTTCTGGGATTCTTGCTCACTGTTCTCATGATCATTTTGACCCCACGGGATGAGATCTTGCGTGGAGCCCCAGATCGAGGGAGATTATCAGTGGTCTTGTATGGCTTCCATTTTCTGATAATTGCTCCCACAGTTGATTTTTTCACACCAAGCTGCTTGCCTATTGTAGATTCACTCTTCCCAGTCTGGTGCAGGTCTACAATTCTTTTCCTGGTGTCCTTCGAAAGCTCTTTGGTCTTGGCCATAGTGGAATTTGGAGTCTGACTGTTTGAGGCTGTGGACAGGTGTCTTTTATACAGATAATGAGTTCAAACAGGTGCCATTAATACAGGTAACAAGTGGAGGACAGAAAAGCTTCTTAAAGAAGACGTTACAGGTCTGTGAGAGCCAGAGATTTTCCTTGTTTGAAGTGACCAAATACTTATTTTCCACCCTGATTTACAAATAAATTATTTAAAAATCCTGCCATGTGAATTCATGGATTTTTTTTCCACATTCTGTCTCTCACAGTTGAAGTGTACCTATGATGTAAATTACTGACCTCTGTCATCATTTTAAGTGGGAGAACTTGCACAATCAGTGGCTGACTAAATACTTTTTTGCCCCACTGTATGTAAAAATTACAACGATGAGGGACGACGAGTCAACTTGTGGGACACGTGAAACGTCACCCCACCTACAACAGGGAGGGATTTCCATCAAATCCCCATCTGGCTGAATGCAGCACCAGAAGTTTTCCTCCTTCCTGTTCAGATAAACAGTTTGAGCTTTCAAATAAAACCAATGAATGAGTGAATTAAGACAGGAGGCAGGAGCGTCTGCATCAACTCCGTTTAAATGAACCACACCGGGAGAACTGGGATTCTGAAGTGTTTTAGCATCAGTTTTATTATTCTGCAAGACACTTCAAAGACAGTCCTGAAAGAGGAGACACGATTATGGTTCATAGCACATTAATGTCTGACAAGACACAAAAATATTAACAAAAAACCAAAACATTTACAAATCAGAAAAGCAAACAGTATCAACAAATCATATAAAACAAAGCAGGCGTAATAAATATTACACATAAACACAAAAACTAAAAGTAAACCGAGTTAAATTATTGGTTTGGGCTACATTTGGAGTACGGCGAATCATTTTTCACCTGGAAAGCTTTCTTTGATCTCCCGGAGAAAGTTGTTCAGCTAAATCTCTGCAGAGACAATCGTTAGAGAAAATCCACCCCAAACTTCACCTTCAAGCTCCTGAATCCAGAAAGAAACACGTGCAGGTGAGACTTTCTGTGGCTCTCCTTGATCCCACAATAGTGCTGAAAATACATGAACTGTTTCAGTCACGCAGGTCTAGTCATTAATTCCACTTATTATTCAAATAAATAAGGAAGTCTGGTGGGCTGAAATGTGATTGGCTGATCTGGACCGCTGATTTAGTCCTCTTTCACTTCTCAAAAATGTCTGGATGCATTTGCTAATTCACAGGAGAGTTTTGGTTCAGTCAAAAATCACATATTCATTCTCTCCTGCACACACCCACACACACACCCACCCACACACACACACACACACACACCCACACACACCCATTCTCTGAAGTGATTCTTCAAAAGGAAAAGTGTGCAACTATTTTTTTTTGCTGCCGCAGTAGTAGCCTCAGGAGGAAGTCACTGCCGCTTCCTTTTCTTTCTTTTAAGCCACGATCAGTTTCAAGATTGGGTGTCCATCTCTGTCTCAGGACTGAAGCTCCACCCATGTTGAGTGTAGGGATGAGGCTGTCAGACCTCCACCTGGACGCTCCTCCTCCCCTCTGCAGCGTTCCCAACCCCCCATAATGCTACTTCTGTTGCAAAGTGCAAGGATGTCTCTCGGACTCTCCCTTTTCTTTTGAGGAATTCCAAAACCAAAGCAAAGAAACTAAAAACCCACTGTTTGGAAAAAAATATTCATCTATGTCCAGAAAGCAACAGGAAGGGAGAGCGAGAGAGAGAGTGCATCTGTTACTATGGAAACCCAGTCCATCCATGTGCTGCTGAGGACTAGTTACACCTCCCTGGAAGGAAGGAAGGACAGAAAGAACATTATTAGAACGGTTGTTATCAGCGCTGAAGGAGACCCCCCCCCCCCCCCCCACACACACACACACACACACACTGATGGTGACTTACGATGCTGTCAGCGTGGAGTTGAGGACCAGGGTGGTGCGTATTCTGTACAGCTGTGCTAGGGTCAGCTTCTTGTGCTGCTGGGCTGGAGATTTCCTTTTTTTACGTGACACTTCTCCCGAGTCTCCGCTTGTCCCCGACTGGTTTTTCCTCTCCGGGAATCTGGATGGAGCTGCGTCCCCATCAAGCTCCTCACAGAGTCCGTCAGGGACCCTGCGACAGCGCACGGCGTCTGCCCGGCTCAGGCCGGCCTGGAGTCTGTTGGACGCCACCCTCGCGCTCAGGCAGTCCTCGGAGCGGTTCAGGCCATTTCGCCGCAGCTCCGATAGGCTCTTGCTGTGAGGCAGAGAGGACGTGTCCCCGCTCTGGGACTCCTCAGAGTTGGAGCTGAGAGAGTGCGTGTGAGAGATGGGGCTGTCACCATGGAAACACTGAAGCAAGTTGTCCTCGGAGCGGGATAAAGCAAAGGAGGACAGCTTCTGCAGACAGTGGAGTATTGGTTGGACAGGAGGTCGCTGGTGAGGTTTAGACAGCTGGGACCTCCGTGACTCCTGTTCCTCCTCCAGCTCTCCCACCTCCTCTGTTCCTGTCTCACTCAGCTCCACCTCCTGGAATCCCTCCTCCTCCGTCTCCTCTCCTTCACTGTGGACGGGCTGAAGCTGCAGCTCTCGCAGGAGGGACTCGGGGGAGAGGGTACCGTAGGCGCTGTCCATGGAGAGAGACCGACGCTGAGGGTCCAACACCTCCGGACCGTGCTCAGGGGGGAGCGGGTCGCCCCGGCGGGTGGACTGTTGGACCTCAGAGCTCTCAGAGTGGAGAGCGGCGGCACACTCGGTGATTTCTTCCAGGTTTGCCTTGGAGGCTGAAGGCTGCTGCTGCTCGACCGGCTCATCAACATCCATCACAGACAGGGTCTCAGTGGAGCCGTCTGATTGGCTGAAAAGAAAAGATCTGTTTGATTACCAACTGCTTTCCTTCGCTGGTGCAAATGTTATTTTTTTCCCGTGAATTGTGAAAGTTGAGAGGAGGACCTGGAGTTCTGCTCATTCTTGCGCCGTAGGACAGGAGAACTTGCGGTAGAGTTGCTGCTCTCGTCTTCCTCCTCCTCCTCCTCCTCCTCCTCCGGACATCGTTTAAGAATGTCCTGCTGTCGAAGCATCTCCTGAGTGTGAAGCTTCTGCAGCTGATTCTGATGGGGGACAGTAATCTATTACAACACAAAACCAACAAACTACAGAATTACTTAAAAGGTTGTAAATTCAAAGCGTGCCACGAACCTGGACATTGCAAACTGCATCTATCCAGCTTCTACCCTGGGTGGCGCTGTTGGCTTGAAACGTGTAGGCTGCAACTGCACTCTTGAACTCATTGAGGTAGACGAGCACAAACGAGCCTTGAGAGACACATAAACGTGCAAACCGTCATCAGCAGAAGGAGACGTCTAACGGTGCGTCATCAGCCAAACGGAGGAGTTTTCTAAGTGCTCGCGTTGCAGACGGCCGCTCTTCATAACTACAAAGATCTCCTTTGAGTCGCATTTGAAGACAAAACAGAAAATTTGAATTCCAATCACCGAGACGTCTCACCGGGATCTTTGAGCTCCTTACAGACAACGTTGTGAATGAGCAGAGGCTGGCGGACGATTTTAACCTTCTCCACCCGCTTCACTGGTTTGGTGATCAGCAGCAGGTCAGTGAACAGGAAGCAGTAGACCTCCATCTGCGGGGCAGAGTCAGAGGCCAGGTGTGCCTTCAAACAGCAGAGTGGAGTACCGTGTTTGTGAGCAGCCGTGAGGCCCCGTGCTTACCCTGCTGTCTTTGCCCTCCTTCATCCTTAGCGCTCCCTCCAGATGCAGCTGTCGGGTCTCCTCCGGAGATGTGCCTCTCATGGGAGCCATCAGATCAAAGTGGTTGTACTCTTTGAGGATCTGAATAGGGAAGGACCCCAAGAGAGACAAAAGCTTAAAAATAGCTCTCTAGAGAAATGCCGTGTTTAAAAACCCACGTCTCACCTTCTCTACCTCCTCGCTGCTGCCCTCTACAGCCTCGTAGGAGTCGATGCGAGCGGAGATGGTGGCCAGCTTCTGCCGCTCCTGACGCTGACGCATCTGAGAATCCACGCTGTTGATGAAGTCTTCCACCGTGGCCACCTTAACGCAAGGATGAATCACAAGGTCAGAGCTGATCCACGTCCACAAAGACAAGTTCTGCTGTCATGATCAAATCTAACCAGGGAACCTTTGTAGAGTGAAACCGTAGCAGATGTCGGCCATAACACACGTAAACAAGACATCAACACACGTAAACAAGAGTAAACAAGAGTGAACGGAGTGCTGCTGACAGCGGCTCATTAGGGTCCCTAAAGTTACCACACAGCTGTGGATCCTCAGACAAACAGCTGCAGTAAGTTGTGAGGTGACCAGGTGTGCCCGGTTTAAGGTTCCTCTGGGACATGTGGGTTATCTCTGGGACATGTGGGCTATCTCTGGGACATGTGGGCTATCTCTGGGACATGTGGGTTATCTCTGGGACATGTGGGCTATCTCTGGGACATGTGGGCTGTCTCTGGGACATGTGGGCTGTCTCTGGGACATGTGGGTTGTCTCTGGGACATGTGGGTTGTCTCTGGGACATGTGGGTTATCTCTGGGACATGTGGGCTATCTCTGGGACATGTGGGTTATCTCTGGGACATGTGGGCTATCTCTGGGACATGTGGGCTGTCTCTGGGACATGTGGGTTGTCTCTGGGACATGTGGGCTATCTCTGGGACATGTGGGTTATCTCTGGGACATGTGGGCTATCTCTGGGACATGTGGGCTATCTCTGGGACATGTGGGCCATCTCTGGGACATGTGGGCTATCTCTGGGACATGTGGGCTATCTCTGGGACATGTGGGCTATCTCTGGGACATGTGGGCTATCTCTGGGACATGTGGGCTATCTCTGGGACATGTGGGCTATCTCTGGGACATGTGGGTTATCTCTGGGACATGTGGGCTATCTCTGGGACATGTGGGCTATCTCTGGGACATGTGGGTTATCTCTGGGACATGTGGGCTATCTCTGGGACATGTGGGTTGTCTCTGGGACATGTGGGCTATCTCTGGGACATGTGGGTTATCTCTGGGACATGTGGGCTATCTCTGGGACATGTGGGCTATCTCTGGGACATGTGGGCCATCTCTGGGACATGTGGGCTATCTCTGGGACATGTGGGCTATCTCTGGGACATGTGGGCTATCTCTGGGACATGTGGGCTATCTCTGGGACATGTGGGCTATCTCTGGGACATGTGGGCTATCTCTGGGACATGTGGGTTATCTCTGGGACATGTGGGTTATCTCTGGGACATGTGGGCTATCTCTGGGACATGTGGGCTATCTCTGGGACATGTGGGCTATCTCTGGGACATGTGGGCTATCTCTGGGACATGTGGGCTATCTCTGGGACATGTGGGCTATCTCTGGGACATGTGGGTTATCTCTGGGACATGTGGGTTGTCTCTGGGACATGTGGGTTGTATCTGGGACATGTGGGCTGTCTCTGGGACATGTGGGCTGTCTCTGGGACATGTGGGTTATCTCTGGGACATGTGGGTTATCTCTGGGACATGTGGGTTATCTCTGGGACATGTGGGTTATCTCTGGGACATGTGGGCTATCTCTGGGACATGTGGGTTATCTCTGGGACATGTGGGTTGTCTCTGGGACATGTGGGCTATCTCTGGGACATGTGGGTTGTCTCTGGGACATGTGGGTTATCTCTGGGACATGTGGGCTGTCTCTGGGACATGTGGGTTATCTCTGGGACATGTGGGTTATCTCTGGGACATGTGGGCTGTCTCTGGGACATGTGGGCTATCTCTGGGACATGTGGGCTATCTCTGGGACATGTGGGCTGTCTCTGGGACATGTGGGTTGTCTCTGGGACATGTGGGCTGTCTCTGGGACATGTGGGCTGTCTCTGGGACATGTGGGTTATCTCTGGGACATGTGGGTTATCTCTGGGACATGTGGGTTATCTCTGGGACATGTGGGTTATCTCTGGGACATGTGGGCTGTCTCTGGGACATGTGGGCTGTCTCTGGGACATGTGGGTTGTCTCTGGGACATGTGGGCTGTCTCTGGGACATGTGGGTTATCTCTGGGACATGTGGGCTGTCTCTGGGACATGTGGGCTGTCTCTGGGACATGTGGGTTATCTCTGGGACATGTGGGTTATCTCTGGGACATGTGGGTTATCTCTGGGACATGTGGGTTATCTCTGGGACATGTGGGCTGTCTCTGGGACATGTGGGCTATCTCTGGGACATGTGGGTTGTCTCTGGGACATGTGGGCTGTCTCTGGGACATGTGGGTTGTCTCTGGGACATGTGGGCTGTCTCTGGGACATGTGGGTTATCTCTGGGACATGTGGGCTGTCTCTGGGACATGTGGGCTATCTCTGGGACATGTGGGTTATGGGGGTTAGGGTCTTTTCATTGCTACCATGCTGCTGACGATGTCGCGGGCTGATGGCTCATCCGTCTTCTTCGCAATGCTCTTCAGCAGAAGGGGATACTTGGTGAGTCTCTGATGAGGCTTTGCCAACATGTCTGCCAGTTTCAGACGGTTGCACTGCTTTTTGGTCTCCGCCCACTAAACGGTCAAACAAAGACAAGTGGACAAGCACCCAAGAGATCAGAGCGGGTCGGGGAGTGCTGAAGGGATCCAGGATCAGTTCAACTGCAGAGCGCTCACCGTCACGTATGTCCTGAAGAGCTCGTTGTCCTTGAGAAGCGTCCGCATGTGCTCCATGCAGCTCTCTTCCTCCATACAGTAACGGATGTAGGGCTGGAACCTCGAACCAAACTGAGCACACGACACAAGCCAGAAACGTTAGAAACGCAGTCAGAGCTTCACGGCCGACGGCTCGGCGTGACTGACTAACCGTGCTGAAGCCACCGTGGAGGTGCGTGGGGTCGAGCGGAGCTCGCGCCTCCCTGGCTTTCTCCAGGACGGGAACCATGACCTGGTTCCACAGGGATGTGTGGAGGCGGACTACCTCCTGGATGTTACTGAAGAGCTTGGCAGGCTCCACCTCTGTCAGCAGGCCACTCTCCTGGAGGTTCAGAAGCCCACTAAGGAACAGCTGGAGTGACCAAAGTGTCACACCACAAGAGTTGTATATCAGTTATCATTTACAGGCAGTGATCGCCATGGTAACAAGCTGTGGTACAGTAGCAGCAATTTCAGTCATTCACATTCAACATCATCTTTACTGTTCAGGATGCTGAGTTACACAACAGTAACAAAACAGGCACTGTGCCACTCATCAGCCCGGACACAGACTCGTGTCTCGGTACACATCAACAGCACCGTGACGCGCATCAGAAGCTCTCTGTGCTCTTACATCAGTGATGACTCGGAGTTTCTTTATGTAGGTGGCCTCGGTGTGCAGGAGCTCCCATATTGCCTCCTGCTGGTGGAACTGGCGCTTGGTCAGCGACTGCAGAAACACACACAGGTTATACTGATGAGCTTGACTAGCACTGCACGATTCAGTCCGCCTCCAGTGGAACTTTTATGGTAAAAGGAAAAGTTAACCTAGATTAGAATTGTACTAAAGGCGCATTAGGAAATGATGACATCCTGTGGTCAAACTGGGGTACTGCAGTCAGTGTTCCTAAACAAACTACAGTGATCCCTCGCTACTTCGCGGTTCGTTTATCGCGGATTCACGACTTCGCGGATTTTTTTGGAGCCTTATTCAAGGGAAATTCGCCAATTTGCGGTATTTTTCACCGATTCGCTGCATTTTTCTATGCGAAATATCAAGAAATTCCTGTTTTTTTTTCCATCAATTTCATCATAAAATGCACTTTTTGTAATAAAACTATAAAAAAACCAAGTAAAAAATTTTTTTTTCTTGAGTTTTACCCACAAAAAGAGAATGTGATCATACGATAATTCAGTATAGTACTGTATGTCAGACTGGTCGGCTGGATTCGGGAGTTGAGCTTGTAGGGAGCGTGGTTTCACAGACGCAGAAGTGAGAGCGTCGGTGAAACGTCGGCTCACGATGAATCTAGGAAACCCCCGAGAGTTTGAGCGTCAACGAAGTGACACGGAAAGGAAATGCCGGGCTTTCCAGAAGTAAGTAAGATAACTTACTATGAGCTGATAGTTCGTGGGATGGATCGGTAGGTTGGAAACTCTGATCATGAATCTGAAGAAACGAGGACTGAGTGGTGAGCTGGAAAGGCGACTTCCGTTTATAGCCGCCGTTTGTGATGTAGGTGCGACGTGGAGGGAATCCCTGCGAGGGGCATGCTGGGAGTTGTGGTCCATAGTGGAGGCCGGCTAGCTGGAAGAGGCTGGCCTGGGAACTTGGGTTCTGACACTGTACTGTAAATATGGTGTCCCTACTTCGTGGATTTTCACCTATCGCGGCCAGGTCTGGAACGCATCTACCGCGATAAACGAGGGATCACTGTAGTAGCTCTGAGTAACTGTTGCCAGCTACGGCTCGGCGCCAGACGAGTCACACACAGCAAGTTACACTTCACTTTGATGTCGACTTGCTGGTAATTGAAAATGAAGCTTGAAATGTTTTCATACTTTTTTTCCTGATTCATTGTTAGCTCAGAGTCGGCCTATAGCCTGCTTCCCTCAACATGTGAGTAAAACCAAAGATGCCGTGGGCTTCTCAGGGGTACAGGAAATAACTTGTGGGTCGTTCTGGTTTACTGGCTAGGGCGCCGCTGCTGCTGCTGTTTGCCTGTCGGTGTTGAGTTACAAATACCGGCGCTGCAATGCGGGTCATTTATCATCTAAACGGCCTAAAAGCTAAATGCTTTTCAGAGTGGACTTTCTTTATCCTAAAAAAAACCTCTAATCTAAAAATGTGAGGGGCCTCTACAGCAGGAATAGAATAATGTTTCCGGAATAACCCTTGGGCCTGATTCAGACTAGCTGTTAGCTCATCAATCTGAGCAGAAATCATCTCCAAACTGAAGCGGTTCGAAGAGCTTTCTACATGTTTACGACCTGTCCACCGCAACGGAAACAGAGGAATTAGAGCAAACAAATACGATGTAAACAAACAACCTGTACTGTTTGTTTCTTAATGGCGCGTCTCCTGAAACACAAAGCTTTGAACTGAAATTTCCCATTTATTTTGGGAATGTAGCACAACAAAAATGGCTAATATTATCATTGTACTGCAAGAAATGTGAGTATAAAGTTATGTTTGTAATGCAGATCAAAGCTGTAACATAACACACACACACACACACACACAAGCAGCTGTTAGAGCTTTGAGACAGCTGAATTAACAGGAAATAAACTTTCTTCATCTATAAAATCTCTATTCTCAAATGTTCAGCGGCTGCCATCAGCAAGAACTCTTTATTTTTACAGATAAGATCAGCAACAAGTTCTAATTAACATCCGGTGGCGAGCGCCCACCAGCTGTCCCGTGAGCTGAATAGTCACGTACACCAACAGGTGAAAGTCAGCGACGGCGTTATGAGGCGGTTATCATTTTCAGAGGAATTTACAGCTCATCACAGCAGCTAAACCACGTGGATCCCAGTCTAGAAAGAGTGTCACAAAGAGCGAGAGATAAGGAGCAAACCAGGAAGTTCAGGTCGAATTCGGCAGTGTGGAAAAAGTTTTTGACTGACAGTTTAGACAGAAGTGTGTCCATTCATATGGAAGGGGGGGGGGGGGGGGGACTTTAATTTGATCAAGTTACATTTCAAAGGGAGGAGGAGACCTAGACTGTAGAAGTGAGGTTATAAATAAAAAGGCGTTTGTAAGCAACGACAGTAAAAGTGGCTTCAGCCTGCACTGCTCCGTGAAACGAGGCGTTTTTATTGGTTTTACTGTGCTCTGCTTGGTGAAGCGTTTCCTGCTGTAACGAGAGGTCAGGAGTGTGCAATGACTGGAAAGACACACTAAAATATGATTCCATGAGTCCATCCACAGTCCTTTCTCTTCTAACAGCTAGCTGAGTCACAACTTCCTTTAAAACCCTTCACAATAAAAGCTCCAATCATTGCACCACACGATTAAATAATAAAACAGTCCACACAGTCCCAGGCTGGGCATGTGGTGTTTTCATCCTGCAGACCATAATCACATTTGTTCCCGACAGTTTTCCCATTGAAAACTCAACGTATAACTGAGTAGAACAGAAATTAATCACGAAATTAATTATTAATAATTAATCACTTTTTTCCGGAACTGCGCTGCTCTGGGTGGCTGCATGTTGGAGTAGCTCTGTTGACTATATGTAAGTTTAGCCTTTTCTTGGACATTTTTACTTCTAGTTTCTCAAGAAAAACTATTTTTTCGGACACTTTACTTTTCTGTTTCTGGTGCTGTGAAGCTTGGAGGAATTTTACTGCTTTTTTTTTTTTTAGCTTTTTTCACTTTTTGAGCATTCGTTATGATGCGTAACCATGGCAACAAGTTGGTTTACAATCAGGAGCAGCTGATTAACATGGGAAAGGCTGAAATAATACCTCAACTGAAGCCACAAATCCCAAATGAGCTAAAACGCAAGAAGCGTGGGTGCAGAGCGGGAGCAAAACGGAGACAGAGAGATACATTTCAGACCATCTCTTCCATCGATCATAATGGGCAATGTGAGATCACTGGCCAACAAGATGGATGAACTCCAAGCCCTTTCAAGGACTCAGCCAGAGTTTCGGCAGTTTCTGAACCACTGGAGGAGATAATGCAAAGAAGGATTCTCCAGAGAATCAAGAAAATGATGGACAACCCTGAGCATTCTCTTCACAAGACTGTCCGACAACAGAAGAGTGTCTTCAGTCAGAGGCTTCTTCAGTTTGGCTGCAACACTGACCGCTACTGGAGATCCTTCCTGCCAACAGCCGTTGTAATATACAACAACTCTTTGACGACTTGATTATTATTATTGTTCTGAGCTACTACAGACATCAGTTTCCCTCTGGGATTAATGAAGAACTTTTGAATTGAATTGAAAACAAAAAACAAGCAACGCCGCTGGTAACACTGGGCCATTTTCATCGTATTTCAAATTACTGTAAAAGTATTGATGATGAGTTTCTTCACAATAACCGTACCTCTGGGTCATCCAGCAGCGTCTGCCAGCTTTCCTCTATCGCCAGGTTGGCCTCCTCTTCCTCCTCCTCCCAGGAGTCCTGGTGGAAGGTGATCTGTCGCGGTACCTTGGGCAGCCCAAATGTGGAGTAGGAGTGGAGTTTACTCTGGAGCTGCTCCAGCCGATCCACCTCCTGCAGGAGGAAAAAGCCCAAGTGTGAGAAGAAACGCTGAAATCAAGGTGTTTGCTTCAGTTTGGCTGATGATGATTACTATTATTATAATTACTATTATTGTAATCAATCTGTTAGAAAAGAGAAGTGGATGAAGTATTAGCATAAAACACTGGCGCTAACACAAGGCCGATATCTAGATCCAACTGAGAGCAGCGTGTTGAGACCCGCTAGCATAGGAGGACAGATGGGGGTGGGGGGGCAAAGCTCTTAGTAAATGCCATTTCATTAGCCTCATAAGTGTGTGTGTGAGCGTGTGTGTGTGTGTGTGTGTGTGTAATGACTGTATGACATTTTCCAGGTTTTGCTCCAAACTGATGGGGTTGGTTCATTTGAATCAGCTGATTAGCAACACAGAACTGAGGTAAAGAAGTCCTTCACTAAAAAAAACCTTATTAGAATTGGTCACTGAGTGTTTCATGCAGCCTGGACATGAAAATAGTCTCCTACACCTATCTCCTGCTTTAGCTTCTGGTAGGAAACAGACGGTGAAACTCTAGGATTAGAAAATCCTGACAGATCCACGTCACACTGTCACTTAACATCCATGGACTCACGCATCTCGACTCACGACGGGGAAGGCTGTTGTTGGTTTGGCGTCCAGGAAACAGCAGAGAACATCTCTGCTAGTACAAGCTAACCGTTAGCATTAGCAACCCCACCACACAGCAGAACTCCTCCAGGCTTGTGTTATTTGTGGAGATGAAACATCAACATCAACATCAACGTTGCAGAGCAAACAGTGGTGGGGTTGTGTTGTTGGCCAATCAGAGCAGGACACAAGACACCAAATCCTGTCAGCTGAAGCTCAACTCTGATCTGGCTCACTTCTAGTTCCTGAAACCGGTGCACCAGAGCCGTTATTATAGAGTGCAACTTACAAGTCATTCATTCCTACTAGAGACCACTGCATTTGTATTAAAAATGTGAGTAAAGTACCACTTTAAGGCGTTTTATTTGTTGCTGTCCTACATGATCTCACACATTCTTAACAAAAGTATTTTAATATTCCATCACACAATATATAGGTATAAATACTTGTGACTTAACTCCACCTGGACTTGAGTCTGCTGACTGGACAATATCCTGACATCCTGAACAAGACGCACATAAATAATCTTCAGAGTGAAATGCAACATCGGCCTTTCTACTGCATGAACACGCCCGATGAAAACATTCGTCACGACTAAAATTATGAAGCTCAGGACGTGAATCAACCTGGTTGTGAAGAGGTGGGAGAAGTTTCCCTCCACCTGGCTATTTCCACAGCTGGGGGTGGGGGGGTGAAACCAGTGAGTCCGGACACTAAAGGGAAATGATTGCACTGGAGCTGGTAGGATGTGGCCTCCTGGCCTTCTCCCACTGCTCCCAGTTACTGCTTTGTTTACTTGTCAATGCTTCTCTAACGTGAGCCACTTCTGGGAGGCTGGTTTGTTTCCTACCAACTTTATTTTGTTTGTAGAAAAAACTTTAATCGAAGCAGTAGTTGTGTGTGTGTGTGTGTGTGTGTGTGTGTGTGTGTGTGTGTGTGTGTGTGTGTGTGTGTGTGTGCACGCTCCATGCCACCTTGACAAAAGGTCCTGCTCCAGCGTTAGAGCTGAACAAGACGCTGAAGCGGCTGGCGGCACGGTTCTTCCAGCTGTCAGGTCCAGTCCCGACACTTGGCAGAGAGCCGCCCGGCGGTCCCAGAGAGTCCTGGGTAGGAATGTTGGTCTCCCCCAGGAACTCTATTATGTTCTTCCTCCGCCGCGCCTGACCCTGCGAGGACACGGAGCAGGACCAGCTTTAGCACCAGACATCCAACAGAAAACAAAACTACTGATTTTATGAGGAAATGCAAGAGATGCCGGTCAGACAGAGAGACGAGATGACGGTAGGAGGGAAATACACAAAAGACAGGAATGGCAGGAAATCAGAGGGGAATTCTGGGTCGAGGGATGACATCAACACACTCATTAAAGTCATCCTCGTGGACACAAACAGGAGAGGGAAGGACAGCCACTTCCTTGCTGTGAATGCTTGTGACATCACAAGGAGCAGGCGGCAGGTTGTTCCATAGGAACAGACGGGCCGAGTCGGTCCATTGTTCCCAGTCCATTGTTCCCTTGTCAGCAGGTCCTGCTGCACCGCCGCACTCCCCAAATCTCTGTCCACTTTACGAGTCACAGCAAAGAAAACAAACACGGCTGCTGCCGTCTCTGAGGAAGCAGTTGTTGTTGGAGTGCTGTGGAATCTGCTGGTGTGTGTGTGTGTGTGTGTGTGTGTGTTTGTGTGTGCGTGTGAGTGAGTGAGTGAGTGAGTGAGTGAGTGAGTGAGTGAGAAAGATGGGGGGGGGGGGTTAGTTTGGAAACCCTCACCTCATCAAACAACAGGGACGTTTTACATTCCTGGACTCTGACACTGCTGCCAAAAGTGACCAGCTATGCGCACGGACACACACACACACGCACACACACACACACACACACACACACACACACAACTCCAAAGCGCTTTACAAGCGCTCCCTAAAGAGTTCGGTTGCTTAAACTCCCACTTGTTACCCGACGTGAGCTAAAGTTCTAAATGCAGCTGAGTTTTCTCCCGATTCACCAAAATGTGCACCGACCTGAAATTTGTCACCGTTTTGCAAATCTTTCCTTTGCTTAATTGCATCTTGACTGGACTGCATGTGTGTTTTTTGTGTGTGTGTTTTTGAAAGGTGCGCAGAGTGAAAATGGACATGAATAGTGACAGAACTGCAAACAGAACAGGTCAAAGGGCGCTTCTCGTGTTCATGCATTTGACCAAGTTTGGAACAAGTAGCTGAAACGTAACAAACAAGCAGCAACTAAAGCCTTAGTACCACTACTGTTATGTAATAAACAAACCTAGAACAACACAATCCCAAAGAAAGGCACGGGATGAATCCTTCTGCACCACAGATTCAAACTTTAGGTCAGATCCAGACCTTCACCATTATAAACGGTCCGAGTGTCCCACGCACTAAACACACATCTGTGTGTTTGGATGTTGGGGGGGTCCATCATAATTTTATCAGCTGACTTCACTCAAGAGGAACTCGTTGGCTTCAGAGCAGAAACCAAAGGAGACATTTGAAAGACGAATGTTTAAGAACACAGGTGTGAGCAAATAAGTCCACATGGTGGACCCACCTAAACTAAAACCAGGTCACATTTAGCTTCATGTTCTAGGACATGCTCCACAAATAAGAGGTGCCAGCCATTTTAAGAATAGTTTAGCTTAATCCAACACGCGCTTTAACCCAAAGAGCCACCAGCAGTTTTCCCACCATAATCCAGCTCACCATTGAAGCCAGAGGCATGTCAAACGTAACGAAAACCATCCTAATCCTTCAGATGGATTCACGGACTGCAGCCCATCCTTGAGCCAGCTGCTGCTCTCGCTCAACTTCTCGCCTTTGCTCTTGCCACTTCCACACATCCACGTCGTCCTCACCGCTCACTTCGTCCAGACGAGACGAGCTCTGTGACACAGCCGCCCCTGCCCCGTCCCGGTGTCCAACAGTCAGCTGGGACTCCGAGACACTCACACAGACTATAGCCTGGAGTTTCGGCAACCAAGAGGATCCTGCCTCATTGTGTCTGCCAGGAAAGAGGCGGAGCAGAAGGAAGCTGGTCTGAATTTGTGGAGGCGGAGTCAGAACCGCAGATCAAACAGGCATCCCGGCACATGTGAGTTCAGTAGAACCCAGACAAACCCGAACGCCGACCGGCCGGCTGCAACAATGAGCACTTTTAGTCTCTTAGCTGCCCCCCCCCCCCCCCCAATAAAAGAAATCTGAAAGGAGAGATCACTTTTCATGACACATCCTCACACAATCACAACACTTTGTTCTGAGCAGCAGACTGTTTTGCTTTGAGACCTTTGAACAATACCAGGCAAGGTGGTGAAAACAAGGAATTTTCCACAGCTTTATCCAAAAGGGAAGCCCCCTTTGTTTACTGTTAGACACACACACACACACACACACACACACACACACACACACACACACACACACACACACACACACACACACACACACACACACACACACACACACACACACACACACACACACACACACACAGAGTCATCAGAAGATATTGAGTAGTTATTGTTATATATTATTTGACACTAAATTAGTGAATTTATCAGGTTAAAAAGCCACAATAATTACATTTTCTGCACTGACTGCAAACATTTACATAAACCTGAGTTTCCATGGTCATCGTTGTGCCTGTCAGGCAGAGCTGAGGGCAGCAAGGTCCCAGTAAGTGATATCAAACCCAGCTCTCAGCCTTATCTCAGCCTCTGTGGCTCGTGGTGTTAACCTTGGCCCGGCAGGGGGGAAATATGTAAAAGAGACCGCCCCCCCCCCCCACACACACACACACACACACAAACAAGCAACAACCCCCATCACAAAGCCTCCAGCTACTGCCTTTATGGTGGCCCACTGATAACAGCTCCCCTTGATCAGGAGGGTTGATTAACGATGGGAAGGCAGCGTGAAGCTGAACTTCCTGCAAGCTCGGACCCACACCAAACTCGTACATCATGTGTGGACAACCAGGACATGGAAACCATAAGGTCAGAGTCAATACCGAGCACGAGCAGCACATATAGGGCTTCTAGCGTCCGACATAATTCATTCTGACCTGATAGGAAAGCTCAACAAAACTCTAGAACATTCTAGAAACACTTCTGACCAACACACAACAAAGCGGATCATTTGGGACGAAGGTGTTACAGGAATATTCCTTTAGAAACTGCACAAAGGAAGCGTGCTCCTCAGGTCAGATGTTTCGGGAAAATTCTCACCTGAGAGTGACCAGTCGGCAGATTGCGCTCAGGAGGCAGCGACTCTGGAACCTCCGGGTCCACATGCAGAACATCCCAGCTGTGCCAGGACGAAAGACGACCAAAACGAACCATTTTCCCCAGAGAATCAACCAAATTTAAGATTTGTGTGATCAACCGAGGCGTAGCTCCAGCCCCAAGTCAGGATGGGCCCATACTGGAGCACAGTGAGGCACGCCGCTCCTCCTGCGGTGTGGCTGCAGGCCAAAATGAACCAGCACATAAGGTGTGCTGCAGGTCAACAGTCACTCAAACAGCCACCATAAAGGTGTGTGTGTGTGTGTGTGTGTGTGTGTGTGTGTGTGTGTGTGTGTGTGTGTGTGTGTGTGTGTGTTAATCTCCTTCAGAGGACAGTCTTTGTCTCCTCTAACACAAATGTCCCCACTGCTCCCCGTGTTTAGCTCAGGGGTGTCCCCACTTTTCAAAACAATGGTCAGGGGTTAATATCCCTCATGGAACAAAACTTTTTTAGTTTTCTAATTTTAAAAAAATGCAAAAATTATTTAATAGTCATCAAATAAGAACTTTGTTCTAGGCGAGAAACTGGTACATTAGCAAATATCTGAACACGGCATGTTCATCTACATCCCTTCTAGGATTCTAGAGCTCAGAACCGACCTTTCCACACTGATGTGTCCGATAACTAAAACGCACCTGGAACACAGGAACCGTTTCAATCGGACTGATTTTACACATCCACTCGTTTCATTGAGCAGAAGCTCAGGGAAACTCTTTATGACACTCGGAAGTTCTCCAAACATTCACCTGGTGACACCAAAGTGCTGCCAAGGGATAAAAAGTATGCAAGGTCCCCCCTCGTGTCAGGGGGTCGGAGCTCGGACACACATGGAAGAGCCATTAGTTGGAAGATCAGCTCCTGGGAAGACAGAAAACTTCCAACTGCAGCCCGTTATGCGAGTCGAATCCTGGTGATTTGTGTCTCTGGGGGGAATCCTGCAGCTGAGGGTTCATAGACACCACCCTGCTGGATGGATGGGGCGAGTTACTTACTCTGGTGTTTCGTTTCTGCTCCATGGAAACTGATTAACACACTTTTATGATCTGGCCACATGACAGAGAGCAAGGATCAATGTACTGAACAGGCTCCATGACTATCACACGGTCCCAGGCAGCTGAGCTATCTTTATAACAACCCTAAAAGCGTCTCTCGGTGTTTTCTCACTGAACACCAGGGATCCGTGGACAGAAATAAACGTGATGCTAAAATACTCATCTGTGCATCCACGTGACCCGGGTCCTGACCCTGGGGGGGTCAACGACTTAAACCAAGCAGATGAATCAGAGTTTCTGATTCGAGTTAGGTGAGCGACGAGACGTCGACAGCTCTGAACACCGCTACCTGACAGGAAGTGGATTTCACCAGCAGTTTGGACGTTTCAGGCTGTATGAGAGGTGAGATTTTAAAGAGAGGAGAAACACTCAGAGATGATTTATGGGACCGATCAGAGGTCTCGCCTGAGGATTCCTGCTGCAAAACAAACATCCTGGATCATCAGAGCTGTCATCGGCCGATCACAACCCAGCCGCAGCCTTTAAGCTGCGACAGCCACAAAAACATCACAGCCACTCCTGGCTGTTTTAAACCAGATTCTCACATTTAGTTGAGCAGCCACGTGATTTTAAAAGTTGTAGTGAAGGAGGGCCACAGTCAGAGTCTGCAGCAAAACCAAACAAATGGGTCTGTTGCACTGAAAACCCGACAAAAGGCACAACACAGCGCCACCTGGTGGCTCAGAGTCTGTTGGTGCACATGCTTGGGAGACCTGGGTCACCGTCAGGCAGGAGTCCCGAGTCTCTGACCCGGTGAAAGACTTCCTTACGTTTCTGCTTTTTATGCATCAGATGCATCGAAGACTTTCATGTGAAACAAACAAACAAACAAACAAACAAATAAATAAATAAAAAGATTCCCTCCAAACGAGGTGGATTCTAAAGATTATCAAAGAACATTAAATTCAACGAAGCTTTACGCCGGACCTCGTCATAAATGCCTGCCGTTGAGGGCGAGTTTTTCCTCTAGCGCTGTGGTACTCAACCTTTTTTCACTGATGTACCCCCGTGAAATATTTTTTTCAGCCAAGTACCCCTAATCAGCGCAAAAGCATATTTGGTTGTAAAAAACAAAAGACCTTAAATAGAGCACGGTGCCTTCAGTGACTGATTTATTCAACTTTGGAACTGAAAAACAAGTACAAAATTCAACCATTTGAAAAAAAAATAACTATTTCGAATATTTTAAATGTTAATACTCCATAACTAAATGTGTTGGAAATATTTTTCATCACTAAAATGTGATTCTAATTAATTAAATGAAAACAGTCACCATAAAACTATTTAAAACCATAAGATTACCCATTGAAAAATCCATAAATGTGCAAAACACTGCACATTTTTTGTAGTATCTCTTGAACTATTTGGAAAAAAATATATATACTAGAAATATTTAAAAACTATATATGAAATACAGGCCAAATAAATGATAATTATAATTAAAGATTTGTGCTCATAAAAAACATATCAACGTAAAGTGTTCTCTTTTGGCATCATAGTATATCTGTTCTCTAAAAGAAATCATTAACGTCATTTTAAATAACAATTGCTAAAAACAAATGCAAATCTCAAAATATATTTTTAAAAATCAAAAAGAAGACTGAATTCTTAACATTACTGCACTGAACGGAACGTTTTTACAGACTTTTTAGTGAGACACTTGGGCTCGTGCTTCACTGAGGATCTTTTTCATCGTTGGTGGCAGGGAGGCAACTGCTGTGATCGAGCTCTTTTCTAGACACGGTCTGCTTCTCTGATCAGTGTCGTTAGCTAATTTCTCCCCACAGAAAAAACACAGTGCCTTGGGTGGGTTGCAACTTGTGGAAGTAAATCCAAATAAAACATAATCTTCCAGATACAGCCAGAATTTTGCCGGCTCTGGTTCGGCCTTCTTGGCCACTTGTCCCTCCGTGTTTTCTAAAGAATTGCTGCTGCGCTTCGGCCACGTGTCCATCGCTGATCCACGTGACCGACTGGTGATGCCAGGCGTTATATGGCAGGTTGGAGTTAACCATCCTGGTATGGGGGAGACTCTGAGGTTTTGGGATAATGAATTTAGCTTACTTCTACTGAATATAAAACACATTTTATGAACTTTTACTTAAATTTTCCTAAAATATTTATTAAATTATTTTTAAAAGATTTTCCATGGATATTATTTTTTTAAATGAATGTACATTTTCTCATGTACCCCCTGGAGTTTCTTTACGTACCCCCAGGGGTACGCGAGAAAGGCTGCTCTAGCTATTTGAACCACGTGATGCTTCAGATAAGATGTGAACTGTGCTGCCACCTGGTGAGCTGAGCAGGTATAACCCCACACTCACAGGTTAACCAACGGTCCTCACCTGCAGAAGCCACGCCCAAACGATTCAGCATAAATCACAGAAACACACACACACACACACACACACACGCTTCTTCAAGTTCATTACTAAATAAATTCCAGCTGCAAGAGAAAAGAAACCTGATGACTAAAATATGACTTTCCTCTGCAACCTCCAGTGTTTATGTCTCAGCTGGATGACTAACACGAAGCCTCACCTCCTCCAAGATGGGAGGAAAGTACTTTACCGATCCTCCACCTGTTCGCCTGCAGCTACAGTGGCATCTGTTGTGGTGCGTGTTGATGCATAATCCAACTCACCTGGGACTTGACAGCCCAAACGGAGGATTAGTGAGTCAGTCTGGGGTGTGTAAAATGACAAGTCGCAAGTCAGATCTCTACACAAACGAGTCAAAGACGACGGCAAAGTGGCAGAAGCGCCGACTTCCGACGAGTTCAGGTGTCGTGCTGACAGGTAATGTTTCAGAGAACAGATCTGTGCATCTGAGCCACCAAGTCAGGCAGTTCTGTTCAATTAAATATGAACTCGTGGGACTAAATATTAAAATATGAAGTCATTAATGGTTCATCGTGATGACATCCCAGCCCTACTGCCGCGTCCTCACATGCACCAGCTTGAACTGACGACTTGCCTTGCTCTCAACATTCAGCAGTTGAGCTGATCGGGATACCGACGGCCTCCATTAGCCGCTCAGCGTCTCTCATCAACTAAAAGCAGCCACTTCCTGCTGCTGCAGGAAGCACCAGCAGCCGGACGCGCACACACGCTCGCTGCTGGCAGAGGATTCAAATGGGAATTCCTAATTCCTCCAGGTAGAAAAGCGATGGCAACACGAGAAGAATACAGAGACGCTGAAGGTGCACAGGGGGAGAACTGGAAAAGGTGTGATTAGAGATGACCATCCTCACCAGGGGGTCGACGCTCTCGCGGCGTGTTAGGGACTCGTGTGCCACCTTCTCAGCAGCCGGGGCGAGGATGTAGGGGCTCTGACCTCCAGACGGCTTCATGTTGGGCAGGCTCAGAGACCGCAGGTCCTTCACGCCCTGCTCTACCTTCAGCTCATCGCCAGGCCGAGCTGCAGGTGTGTACAGGAAGAAAATTCGATGTGAAGGAGAACTATGAGAAACGACAGTAAATCCAGGAGGATGTAGGGAAGAAATACTAACATATAAAATCACTTTTCCTCACCTTTTAGGCAAATATCTTAACTGGGTAGGAACAACAAGGTGCAGATTTATTAGAGGACCCATTAGAATATGAATGAAACCGGTGTGAGTGGTTTCTCCTCGTGTTACTCCAGTTTGATTAGAGGTGAGAGTCACCATTTTATCCACAGTATATGGTTCATTTACACAGGGTATCTCCAGGTTTAAGGGAGCCTAATGTAAGACTTTTTTTAAGGCCACTTTGAACAAATTTAAGCTATTTAAGTAGGGCAGCAGTAGCTCGACAGGTTGAGCGGGTTGTCCAGTAATCGGAAGGTTGCAGGTTCAAGCCCGGCTCCGGACAGAGAATTCTGCTGTTGTGTCCTTGGGCACTTAACACACCTTGCCTGCTGGTGGTGGTCGGAGGGACCGGTGGCGCCAGTGCTCGGCAGCCTCGCCTCTGTCAGTGCGCCCCAGGGCAGCTGTGGCTACATCGTAGCTCATCACCATCAGTGTGTGGATGTGTGTGTGAATGGATGAATGATACACTGTAGTGTAAAGCGCTTTGGAGTCCTTACTCTGAGAGGTGCTACACAAGTGCGGGTCATTTATCATTTTAAAAAATTAAATTTAGGCTATAATTTCCAGCTATTGTCTGGAACCGGTGCTAACCACGCTGCGATCGTGGGATTAGCCATCCAGTTACCGTTAAACTTCCACTTTCCCATGGTGCAAACTCCCACTAGCTTAACCAGCTAACGTGCTCATCTAAAAACAGCCCCCTTAAACAACCAACTGACTGCGTACGGTTCCGCTTACGGCAACATCGTACACAAAAAATGCTGAACTAACTAGAAATTCACGAAAATTTTATAGAAATAAAATAATCTCGTTTATTGTGTCTTTGGTCATTTAAGACCTCTGGAAACTGTATTTAAAGATTATTTGTCATTTTAAGGATTTTTAAGGCCTTAAATTTGGAAAAGCAAATTTAAGACTTTTTAAGGACCCGCGGATACCCTGTTTACACCAGGGCTGGTTCTGAAAGGCCCAGAAGTCCAGTCTCAGACAGAGATGTGGACCCTCGGACATGTCGGCGTTGACGCATTTACCTTTCACTTTGAGGTAGTGTCCTCCAAAACGATAGGCCTCAAAGTGGAGGGACAGCGGTGTGTTGGACTGATCGAGGAAGAGGTCGACGCGGGACAGGTCGACGCCGTTCCTCTCAAACACCGGACCCAACACCTCTCTGGTGACATACAGAACAGTCCGTGGTCCTGAGCGGGGGCATCACGACTTTGCTGCGATTATCGTGCCACTCGACTCACCTCAGCGTTTTCTTCTTCGCTGCAGGGACGATCTCTGTGTTGATGTCCACATTGAGGTCAAACTTGAGGCTGAAGCACTCCGTGCCGAGGTCCTGCAGAAAGCAGACACACACACAGATCCACAGGGGGCTCCTTCTCTCCACTCAGATGTTGTTTTGCCACAGCAAGGTTTTACACAACTCTGACAAAGAAACGAAAAGCTCAGACTCGGATCATGACTCACGGTGTGTCTCCGTGGCTTCTTCTTCCCCAACATCATCCCCGCCATCTTACGCTCGCTGCGAAACACAAACAGTCAGACGCCATCTCTGGAGACGTGTAAAAAGTCTGAGAGTAAGACAGACTGGATGTGGAGGAAGATTACTAACCCCTCTTCATCTTCCTCCATGTCAGAGGGGGGGCTGGTGCGTGGGGGGCAGGAACGTGTGGACACGTTCCGGGCGAGGATGGAAGCTTCGGGTTAAGAAAACAACATCATCAGTGCCTCTGATCAGCACTTCTTCACTGTTCCATAGACTAAACAAAACACACACACACACACACACACACACACAGCTACAAAAGACACATTTTCATTGTGGTGGTGCAGAAGAAGAAAGAAGAAGAAGAAGAAGAAGAAGAAGAAGAAGAAAGCTGACGACGAGACAAACGGAGACGAACAAGTAAAAAAGACAATGAAGAAGACAGAGGACACAGAAGAAGTAGATTAGGAAGACGGAGATGAAGACTATTATTCCAGACCTTCGTTTTGTAAAGTTAAAACTTCTGATTTAATAATCTCAGTTTTCTTTTCTGATTAAATCGAGACTTTTCTCCGTTACTCTAAAAAACACCTTCGGTCATTAAACTCTGACTAACAGGAGATCGCGTTTCAGATTAAGTTCAGATTTTAGTCAAATTGGAAACATGTTTGTCACTTAAAGCTGCTTTTCGGAGTTTTCCTCTTTCAGAAATGACGCGTGATTTTTCAGAAATCCGTAAAAGTGATCATCCCATCGTGTACTGTGATATAATATAAGTAATACGTCTTTTTTGTTGCTAAGCACCCCCCCACCCCCCCACCCCGCCCCGCAGAGCTCCGTGCAATAGGAAACTGAGCGCCAACCAGAACTGACCAATAGCGTTAGACTACCGCTTACATGCTTCAAATTTAAGGAACACCTCGGCTGATGCAGACTTGATGAACTTTTAACGGACAAGAAAGTCTCTAAAATATAAATATATGAAAACACAGCATGGCATGAGAATAATACTTGTAAAACAACGTGTTTTTAGCCGTTTGTCGGCTACAAAAATCACATTTATAAACAGAAAGGTGAAGAAAACGTAAAAAAACAAAGCAACAGATTTTTGTGTGTGATATGCTTTTCAGCCACTAGATGGCGCCATCGGATAAGAGAAATACTCCGGAAAGCAGCTTTAAGAATGAAGTTGAGATGGACATTTAAAAAAGTCAAAATGCTGAGAAAATGACGTCAAAACAGAAACTCCAGTCCAAAGGGGCCTTTTCAGATTTCATCGTGACGATTGGAGGCCTTCGACTTCACCAACATTTTAAACTCAAACCAGAAGGCCTCTCCGTTCGGATCTCTTTATTCTTCTATCATGGAAGAACGCTCGTTTCACTATTTCACATGTGATGAAAGCAGAAATCACTAAGATACACACCTGGCCCTAAAAAAAAACCCCAAACAGCATTTCTGGTGTTCATGTGTTCAGGAGGGTTCACCGGGGTCGACCCCGCTGAGGTCTTTTCTGCTCGTTTTATAGAAACCAGCGTCTGATGATTGTTTATAATTCTACATCACTGACCACAGCAGCAGAATGGATTCATCTCCACAGATGTTCAGAAAGTCTCCTGCTGCTTCAATAGTTACCGATCTAAAACACGTCACCAATAACCAGGATCTGTCCAACGTAAACTATCAGAATGTGAGCTACAAAACAGGAAACTGCCTTATATAGACAGCAAAAGCTCTGTGTGTGTGTGTGCGTGTGCGTGTGCGTGTGTGTGTGTGTGTGTGTGTGTGTAACAATGAAGTTCTGTACTGAGGTAATGGGGATGACCTCATCCCCCCCCAGAGGGGGAGCACCAAATAAAGAAATCATCTACCTTGAGGTTGCAAGTCGAATCGAGGATGTCGGTCAAAGTGCACATTGCTCGTGCTCTCCGAGTGGCAGCGCGAGTCACATGACTCACACAGATGAAGGGGACTCTTGTTGTTCAGGTCCTGGCAGTCTGGATGGTGGCAGACCTAAACAGAGAGGTCAACACGACAGTAAATTTTCCACCACAGTCACAAACACATTCAGAACTAAAGACTTGCTGCTTGGGTATCGTTTCCACCACCTGCACCCCTCTGAGGCTGGAGGGGTCTCTGGTCAGCTCATTTGGACGTGCTCCAAAGCTGTAACCCTAAGTCAAACTGTTGGTCCACTCTGAGCTCCAGCAGCAGGCTGCAGGATTAAGGATCTGAATCTCAGACATATTCAAAGCTCTGAGTTGTCTCCCCCTCAGGACCAGTGGACTTGCTCACCAGTATCCACCCACATAAAGGTTGGTTTATGCTCGACGCGTCCGCGAGGTTCGCGCAGCTCCGCGCGGAAAAGTTGCGTCATTTTAACAACCACGCCCCTCCACCGCGCCTCCGCACGGCCAAAACTTTCCGCACCGCGCACCTAGGAAATGTTCTAACCACGCAGACGGTCGGACGCGGAAAAACATGGCGGACCGGCAAGAACTAGTATGGCAGAGGTTGGTAAATACAGACATTTGTATGATTCAGCTCTCAAAGATCACCGTGATCAACATGTTGTTAATAATTCTTGGAGAGAAATAGCTCGCACTGTCGGAAAAGACGAGGACGCTGTTAAAAATGCTGGATTGCCATGTTGTAAACAACAGTAATTTCTACTTCTACTATGGTGTAGTGTTGGATGCATGCCGTAGAGCTCCATGCTGCCCCCTACAGTTTGGGAGAATATTGGCTCACCGCAGAGACGAGCCGCATGAACCATAAACGCTGCGAGTTGTGAAGCGCGTTCCATCCGCGAGCCGCATCACCGCGCGGAAAGTGAATGTGTCAAGCATAAGCCAAGCTTTAGGGTGCTGGGTCATGTGTGTAGTGTACTTCCCGACCTCGTTTTCATGTTCTTAAGAGGACCAGCATGTCTGATTGAAGCAAGAAAAATATATCTGTAGCCTTCAGACATCAAAAACGGACTAACCTAATTTTCTTTTTGATCGCTCAGTCACATTAAGGAAACATGAAGACAGCAATGCTACAAAAGCAGAAAACAGCTGCGGCTCGTCAACTCGGAGGTTCAAACGGAGTCAGACCTCATAAAATAAGCACTTGTTTATTTTCAGGAGCCTAGAGGCTGAGCAGTGGAACCATAAGGACATACATCACTGGGCGGAGCATCACAGAGAATATGGCCGTAACATATCTTTATAAGGCACACCAAACGCCACCAGTGTGTTTTGCCCTCGTTTTGTCATTTTGAATTGCACTGACTTTTTAAACCAAAATACATTTACTTTGTTTTGTGGTAGTTTGGAGCTTGTTGAGCCCCAAACTAAACAAAGATGTACACAAACCTATATTATTGTAATAAGAAAATCAAGACATGTAAAGCAAATTTTAGCAATCCACACACCAACAAAACAGAAACCTTTCACCATTACAACGCTAAAACGAATTGCTGCAGATATAAGCTAAAAAAGGACTTCATGTCCATGTCTGCAGGTACTCAGGACCACAGAAAAAGACTCCTTTGTGACCCGTTTCTCCACCCTTAGACCCCAGTAACAGCATTAAAAAACACATCACCACGCTACAGGCGTAAACGTTGCATCTACAAAACAATCTGCAAGGCTCAAGCACAGAACGATGGAGGACGACGGCCACTTTGGGTCAGGAGTCCCAAGTGAAGTCAAACAGCCCAGACAGGTAAGAAGACCAGAAAAAAGGTCCAGTAATCTTTCAGAAGGACCCCCACCACCATCCCCACACCCTAACTAGGGCTTTTGCTCCATCACCACCAGCTGACGCTCCTGCAGAGGTTAAAAAACCTTCTCCTCTTCCGTTCAGTCCTCCACCTCCAGGAGGACAAACTCCTCCCTTCTGGTCGGGGGGGAAACCACTTCCTGTGTAAACATGGGAAGCCCCAGGGCCACGGGCTGAGATGCGACTCTGGTTGGAGTTTATGAACAAAAACAAAAAAGTCTTCCTGCTGAAGACGGCACGAGGTTAACACGGTAGTCTTTAAATCCCCCATCACTGGTTCCCAGTCCGGTTCAGGATCATGTTCAGGTCTCAGCGCCATCCCATCCATCCCAGATCCAAACGACATTCCCAGCTCCAGGTTCAGCACGACCTTCCCTGTTCGCTTCAGGTTATTACCGACTGGTTCTACATTATTTCACACGTCAGAAACAGCTCTTTGGCTGAAGGATGTTTTAGGTGTTCCTCAGGGAAAACAAGAACACTGATTTTCGTTTCACGTCACCAACAGTTGCTGCACATTCAGACTGTGGATTAAAGGTTTCAAAAGAGAGAAAAAAAAGTTTTAAGTTTCTCAATGAAGCCATTTTTGTTCAGATGGTCATTATGGGGGAAAAAATATCAACACATTTCTCAATCGATGCAGGTTGGGAGAAGTTGGGCAGCTCTCCTAGTCTGTAAAAACTTTCTTTCATAGTTTAATGAAGTCAAATATTCATTAAACAGGAGAAGAGAGCCGGTTCCAGCCGGGAGCAGAAACCACCAAATCAGCCTCTCTGTGCAGCATCCACACGTTTCAACTCAGGAGTTCACATTGCTGACACGAAAAGTGAGTTTCGGTTTCTAATAACTGATTAATGGACATGAAAACGTAGAGAATCTCCTTTAGTTTCTGACTCTGGATCAGCTCTGAGCCCCGGGAGGAGCTGGAGACCACGGGGAGGTGGTGTGGGACAGCTAAAGGGGAGCAGCGTGTGCCTCGCACCGCGACAGGATAAAAGCGTGGGAGATTCCATCAGCTCAGTCTGGATTAGTGCGCGCGCGCACACACACACACACACACACCTCCC